GCTGCCTCCCAAGTAGCTGGACTAAAGGTGCATGCCACCACACCTAGCTTGTTTTGTTTTTAGAAACCTATATGCTGACTCTAAAGGAAATAGTTATTTTTCTAAAGAAAAAAAATAATATATATGTATAAAAATTTTAAATATTAAAAAAAGAAACCTGTATGCTGAATACACAAGTATTTATGAATATCTAAGAAATATGCTAGTAAACCTTCTAATAAACAATTTATTGATCAGAACTGTCTAATCTTTTCATTGAATTTATTATAGGTTCTACCTAAATTATAACCATTGCTCATCATTTTGTGAAATAAAACAGAAGCCTAGTTTTCCTTGTTTCATAAAGCCCCTGTAAATTATTCCTTCTGACTAAGCATAAAAGCAAAAACCATCCTATTTATTTTAAGGATGGAGCAAGAACCCAGATTTCGGTTTTCATCTGTTTCCACTAACAGTTTTGGCAAGTCCATCACTTTGCACTCTCAGTTTGTCAGCTATAAATTGAATATGTTGATAGGAGAAGACCTCTCTTATCTGAGGCAATCAGGATAGTTACTTAACATTGGTTAATGGAAGAATTAAGAAGGTGGCATTATTTCCAGGATTTTATTCAAAGCATAAATATACATTCACTCACTGATCTTCTGAAATCTTCAATTATGGTCTTTGGATATGAGTTTACCCATCAAGTGTTGCTATATCCATAGTGCATGAGCTGTGATTTCAGTTCAGTTTCTTCAGAGTGACATACTTGTGAAACTGTATCACCTCAGCTATTTACAGATTCATGTGATTTTCCCACCAGTCTTTTCAGTTGTTTCAGTACAATGTATTGAGGAACACTGCTTTTAGTAGATCAAGCCACAGTATTCAACTTTAGTTTTCAGAGAATAAAAACTCTGTGTACTCATATCTCAAAAGTTTATAAGATAACTTATGACTTTCTGTTGAATTACTGGCATAAACAAGGTTTAGGACAAAGGGATCCGATCCTGTCTCTGTATGTGCACTTTTTAGCTAGTGGGAGCTGTCGTGTCTCTGCTATGCTTGCACTACCTAAGACGGTGTTCTTGGACTTTTTTTTTTTTTTTTTTAGCTATAGCACCCAAGTTATTACATTCAAAACCAGACATACAATAAAACGTGTATAACTGATGTAATGCACTATTTTTTCTTTTTAAAATGCTACTTTTTAAAACCCACTATTATAATATTTTCTAATGCTGGTTGTGTACTAATAATCCGAACTGCTAGCTTCAACAATCTATTGTTAATCCAGCAAGTCATTTAAGTAGGGTCAACTGAGAGATACTAAAGTTCCTGTTACACTTTCATCATAGTTCTGTTGTGAGGATAAAATGAATACATAGAACTTCAGTAGAATGAACCTTTGATTTCTTTCCAGGCTTGCTTTGTATACTTTACTCCATTCTAAGATAGTTCTTTGCTGTTTTTAGAGAACTGTCTTTGTTAAATAAAATCTAAATTTTCCCTCCTGTATATTCACCCATTAATCCTAATGTTGGTCTATTAGACCTACACAGAGCTTTCACATCACTGCAATGAAGATATTTGAACACCTCAATAGAGAATATTTGCTTAAGTGAAAATCTGATTAGCTATCTATTGTTGTATAAAACCATTGTCCCAAAATTTAGCTGCTTAAAACAGTATACGTTTATGATCTCATGGTTTCTGTGGGTCATAACTCAGGCATGGCTCAGCTGCTTCACAGTATTTGAGAGGCTGCAGTCAGGTGTCGGCTAGAGCTGTGTCTCATCTGAAGGCTTGGCTGGGGAGGATGTTTCCAGACTGGCTCATGGGGCTGTTGTCAGGATTTAGTTCCCTGAGAATTGTTGGGCTGGGATTCTCAGTTTCCTGCTGGTCATTGGCGAGGCCACCTCAGTTTTTGCCAGGTGGTCTCCATCAGGGCAAGCACAAAAGAAAGTCAGAGAATTTCCAGCAAAATGTACAGTCTTTTATAACCTAACCTCAGAAGTGACATCTTTTCATTTTTGCCATATTCTGTTCATTAGAAACAAGTCATTAGGTCTAGCCCTTGCTCAGGGAGATTAACAAGGTATGGCTACCAGGAGGGTGGGGAGCCCTGGAGCGGGGTCCAAGCTGCCTACAACACAGTCCCAGTTCTTTCAGCTATTTCTCACGTGACTGGTTACCATATCCCTTCCCAAGAGGCCATGTGGTTTTAAATGTAGGATGTAGGTAGGCACAGTGCATGGTAAGGAAGCTGGTTCTGTAATGTAGCCTAAGGTACTCAGGGCACCCATATCCCGTGGTTGACTGACAGACACACTGTGAGTTGGGAGGGAGGTTAATATTTATTTTTATCAAGTAACTACATATATAGTTTAAAATAGCACAATGTGTAATTCATTCAGCAAGCTTACTTGTTCCAAAGCTTGAGCTACAATAGTGAAGAAAGCAGACAAATCCCTGTCTTTGTGGAGCTTATTTCTGGCATGAGAGACAAACAGTGAGAAGATGAATGTATGAAATAGTGATAGTGCTAACAAGAAAAATAGGCAAGGAAGGAGATAAATAGTGAGAAGTTGTGTTAATTTTATGAGGTGAACAAAAGGTCTGAGGTGACACATGAGTAGAGACTTGAAAAGAAGGGAGGAGCGTGTTTCAAGATCTTTTTAGGGGAAGAACATTCCACACACAAGGAAGGCAGCTGCTGTGGTGTTAGAGCAGCGCAGAGGCCATTGCAGCCCTGGGCAGAAGACGAAGGGAGTAGTAGGAAGTGCAGTAGGCTGGGGAGTCCTCTGGGCGCAGTAGAGATGAGTGCCCAGCAAAAGTGCTGAAAAGGCTCCATTCCGCTGTTGGACAGATTTCTGTGGTTACCTTGCTGGGCAGGGACTGGAGGGGAAGGAGGCTGTTGTGGAGATGCAGGCGATGGGGGAAGGCCGGCTGGTTGGCAGCAATGGAGCGGGGTGAAAAGTGGTCAGATTTGGATAGCCTTTGAAGGTAGAGGCAGTGGTATGCTGGCAAATGCTTACAAAGGGCTTTGGAGAAAAGGTGGGAATGGTTTGTGGTAAGTGGTATAAATCCTATTGTGGCAGATTTCAGGACATCACTGTGGCATCGTTGTAGTGCAGACTTGGGTCTAAGATGCCCTTGCTGTGGAAGCGCAACTCCAACCTACAGTCATTGGCATATTGATCAGATTCAAAGCCTAGAGAGATTGGCTTCACCCAGAGAAGGCATATACCTAAAAAATAAAAGGGGAACAAGGCTGAGTACTGGGGTGCTCCAGCTAAGAAGAATTCTACAGATTTTTTTTTTTTTTTTGAGACAGAGTCTCGCTTTGTTGTCCAGGCTAGAGTGAGTGCCATGGCGTCAGCCTAGCTCACAGCAACCTCAAACTCCTGGGCTCGAGTGATCCTTCTGCCTCAGCCTCCCAAGTAGCTGGGACTACAGGCATGCGCCACCATGCCCGCTATTTTTTTTATATATATATATTCAGTTGGCCATGATTTCTTTCTATTTATAGTAGAGACGGGGTCTCGCTCTTGCTCAGGCTGGTTTTGAACTCCTGACCTTGAGCAATCCGCCGGCCTCGGCCTCCCAAGAGCTAGGATTACAGGCGTGAGCCACAGCGCCCGGCCTCAGATTTTAATTTAAATAGTTTGTTCTTTGCTGGATGAGAGACTAAAATTTGTGTTTATGTTTGTCAGCCCAGTATTAGACTTTCCCGTTTAAATGTCTCACCTATTTCACTTTGAATATTCTCAGTAAGAATTACTGAGTTCAAATATATGTACGTGTGAAAAGATTGGTAGAAAAAATAATAATTCTTTGTGTTCAGTTTATGTTAAAATGGTGAGTCTTTGACATTGTATATTTTTCCTAGTATAATCATAAAAACTTCAGTATTAAGGCCAGGCACAGTACCTGTAATCCCAGCATTTTGGGAGGCCAAGGTGGAAGGATTGCTTGAGGCTAGGAGTTCAAGACCAGCCTGGGTAACATAGCCAAACCTCATCTCTACAAAATATTAACAATAAATGAAAATAAATAAAGCTTTAACATTAAAGTGAATGTCTAATTTCACACTTTTTGTTTTATAGTTTTGAAGTGATTAAAGTTATCCATGGCAAATTGTTGGATATGGTGGGGAAAGTACAGTAAGTAGTAGTATTTTTATCTCTTGTTAAACTCATTATAATAGTATCTTCTGAGCAATAAAACTGGCACTAACTAGTTTATTTGGATTTTTTTTCATTGTAAATAGAATACCTATTATGTTGGTCGGGAATAAGAAAGACCTGCATATGGAAAGGTATGTAGCTTTTAAATGATTATTGATTTATAAAATCAAGTCTAAGGTGATTTAGTCATTGAAGTGCCATTTTAAATTACTATTCTGATGGCAGGACTATTTTGATTATAGCATTTCTGTTGAGAAATGTTACAGTTGTGCACAACAGAATCAAAACTGCAGTATAAATCTCACATTCCTCTAGAGAGAGCAAACTTTATATTTCTAGGAAGTTATCATTAGGCTATATACCTTTTTGCATAAAGCAAACCCTAAAAAGACAAAGGTAGCTCTCGTTTATTCAGCAAATAATCTTTTGATTCCTGGGGCTGGAGTTACAGTGATGAACAAGCGAGGCAAGAAGCCCATGCCCATGGAGTTCAGTGTCAGTGAAAGAGACTCTTGCAGCCTGCATACAACAGAATTGAACTGTGAGCCCTTTCACAATTTCCCCTGGCCTTGGGTGCTTAAAACCTCACTGTAGAATAGTCAATTGTTACACATATTGGAGTAGTGGAAAGTACAGTCATGTTCTCTGAGCTGGAAGAGTTTGCTGGAGCATGGATAACCCCATAAGGCAATGTCTGTTCTGTTCCCCAAGTCGGGCGTAATTAAAATGTTCCTGTGTTACATTCTTGATGATAATGTTTAGTCAGAGCATGGTTCTGCTTCACAAGAAAAAATTGATGAAAGTGGAGCCTGTTTCATAAATCAATTATAGATATTTTTTATAATAAAAAGCAAAGTATTTTAATTTGAATTTTCTTTTTCCTTTAGGGTGATCAGTTATGAAGAAGGAAAAGCTTTGGCAGAATCTTGGAATGCAGCTTTTTTGGAATCTTCTGCTAAAGAAAATCAGGTAGGTATTTTCTAAAACCCTTTTCACGTTGTCTTCCTATCAGTCACAGGTGTTATGTTCCTCTTAGCACTAACCTCTCTCTCTATCACTTCTGTTTAATTTTTAGCTTTTCCATCATTTCTGATACCAAGTGCTGGGTTGCTTTAGGAAGATACTGTTAATGTTTTTATAAATTCAGTCAAACTAGGCGCAGTAGCCCACGCCTGTAATCCTAGCACTCTGGGAAGCCGAGGTGGGGGGATCGCTCGAGGTCAGGAGTTCGAGATCAGCCTGAGCAAGAGAGAGACCCCGTCTCTACTAAAAATAGAAAAAATTAGCCAGGCATGGTGGTGCATACCTGTAGTCCCAGCTACTCAGGAGGCTTTGGCAGGAGAACTGCTTGAGCCCAGGAGTTTGAGGTTGCTGTGAGCTAGGCTGACAACACGGCACTCTAGCATGGGCAACAGAGTAAGACTCTGTCTCTAAAAAATAAATTCAGTTAGTATTCTATTTACAACAGGACCCAGAATATTTATAGGTTAAACAGAAGTTAATAGTAAAGGATATACTGCGTTTTGTGGACATACTATTTTTGTTTTGTATTAACAGCTGGTACAGAAATAAGTCCAGACATAGAAGAGAAACAAGAATTATCTTAAATCACTTCAGCACTAAATTTGTAGCTATGCCCCACCCCCTTTCTGTAGGATGAAACTGAGTCATGTATGTGTTATTTTTAACATAGAAATGATTAAGAACCCCTTTACCGGGGTTTATTGCCAATTTATTGCCAATTTCAGCCCTACAGATGTTTCTTAAAGGCATGTCCTAGAAAGAATATAAATTCTGTTCCAGAAAGTTTCACATGACTGATTTTTCCTCTTTCTTTCATTGTTTTAGTTTAGACCTATGTTCTTTTACCCAGGCTTGGGCATCTCCTACCTCCTACCTCCACTATTTCTCACCAGTTTATTTCTCTTTGCTCCCATTAACTTTGTAAACCTACACATCAGATGGTGTCATCCTCTACTCAGAAACTGTCGGTAGACTGTCCATTATTATAGAACAGGGCTCAGAGCCCTTTGTGTAATATCAGGGCAGTGCGTGATGTGTTCTTTTCTAGTTTATTCTCTCACCACGTTGCTGTACTTTTCAATCACACCAACTACTCCCACTCCCAAATAGCGGACACTTGAAAATGCCTCACCTTTGCTCATTTCTTTACTTATCTACTTATATTCATATGGGGTTTATTGCTTTGAAAGAGTATTCAACATGTGAGCTTGTTTGAGCCTCATGTAAGATTAATAGGTTTTCATTTCTCTGAGGAAACTCCAGCGTGGTGAGGGGTGTGACTCCTCAGTAAGGCTGGAGCCACCCGTTGCTGGCATCTCCCCTGACCTGCTCGGCCCTTTGCCCATTGTGAGAAGGCCCTGGTCCTTAAGGCCATGCTTAGATTTCCCCTTCTCATTGACCTCTTCTTGATTCATCCAGCTGAAAGGAATTTCTTCTCTCTCATTCTCCTTAATTCTAAGATCTGAGACAGTATCATTTACTTTCATATTCTCCATAAGGTTCAGCACAGTGTTTGTATACCTAGCAGGTTATCTCGACCCGGGTATCCCTTGATAGTCAAATCTGTTTCTTCCTGCATTCTGATATAGTGCGGTAGTAAATCTGTGTGATTGGTTCCCAAATTCCAGACAGTAGAGGATTTATCTGAATCAGTTCAGTTCCCAAGTATACATGGGCATGGTGGCGCATGCCCGTAGTCCCAGCCACTTGGGAGGCTGAGGCAGTAGGATTGCTTGAGCCCAGGAGTTTGAGGTTGCTGTGAGCTAGGCTGATGCCACGGCACTCACTCTAGCCTGGGCAACAAAGTGAGAGACTGTCTCAAAAAAAAGAATGAGCCAGGTACCCTGATGCATGCAGGATATCTAGAGGTAGTGAGCTGGGAGGTGGTGTGGTGGGATGCTTGAAATTGGGGTGATGGAGGAGGGGCGCCTATTAGTAATAACATCTAGACACTGCCCGAAGGATCTTCTCCCTGATTCAGTGACTGCATTAAAAGGACAGGGACTGACAGTTCTCATCCTCCTGCAGTGTAAGAAAAGATTTCCTGCCCAAAGTGACAGTGACTCCTCCTCGTTGTGGAGGACTAGTAGGGTTTGACCATGGGAGTGAAATGGCTAATGTGA